CTGTAAAAACAGAATCGCTTTGGTCAACCTCCCCGAACGTCTTGATTCGGTATCTAGCCACCCCCCGCGAGGGTTGCATGTGGCACAAGGCCGAGTTTAGCGTGGGTTTCCCGAGCCCGTAGGCTCGGCCAAAAAATGCCAGTATAACCCGTATAAACGAGATCAGGATGGTCATTTCTCCCCGAACGAGATTCTGCCCTTCGGCGGAACCTCGTCCGGGTTCCTTTCTGCTCAAAAGCAGAGAGTTCGACCGTCAAGTCGAGGAGCTCGGCTTGATTCGGTATCTAGCACCCCCCCCCCAGGGTTGCATGTGGCACAAGGCCGAGTTTTACGTGGGTTTCCCGAGCCCGTAGGCTCGGCCAAAAAATGCCCGTAGAAACTGTAATATCAAAATCGCTTTGGTCAACCTCCCCGAACGTCTTGATTCTTCCCTCTCTTATGAGAGGCGTAGTATACATAGTGTTATGAAGAGTTCATTCTGTAGTTATAGGTAAGGACCCATGACAATTATAAAAATACCGGGCACCTCGAGACACTGTCTCGCTAGAACAATTACCGCTGAGTAGTGAGTTCGATCCTCACTGTATGCCCCTTTACTTTCTGTCTTGTGCCACATCTAAGCTATGTTTGGAAAATGTCCATAATGAAAATACAAGTAATAATAGTAGACGAATTGAAAACGAATATCATGATTATCTTTCTATTTCCGCAATGGTCAAACTACTTACACTATTTACATCGTTCGGACTGTTGTCCTCATCTTTATTGCCATATTCACCACGTTTCGACCTTTGTGCGCTCCGGCCTTCTTCAGAATATGTCTATAGTTCTTTTTATTATCTTTCTATTTCCGCAATGGTCAAACTACTTACACTATTTACATCGTTCGGATTGTTGTCCTCATCTTTATTGCCATATTCACGACGTTTCGACCTTTGTGCGCTCCGGCCTTCTTCAGGATATGTCTATAGTTCTTTTTATTATCTTTCTATTTCCGCAATGGTCAAACTACTTAATAAGTCTGCAGAAAAACCTAAAGCAGGTAGTGGTTTTGTTTTTTTGGCTACATTTCATGATTTGTTTTTTTCAACTTCCATAACCTCACTAGCGTTACATGGGCAAAAGTTCTTAGTATGTTGGCTGTACTTATTGTTACAGTTTTTTTTTTGGATATATGTATGTACTAGTCAGCTAGCCAAAATGAGCTGACTCATTTTATAGTCCACGAATAGAAGGCTTAACCAATCAGAAAGCTCAAAATATTCAATCCGACGTGTATAAAGGCAGCCATTTTGTTTTTTCTCCCGAAATATCTCCATTGCCAACCTGATATCGAAGACTTAAAGAATTACTTAACAGTCGCTACTTTCTCTGAATCTTCACTGCCAAACTCTGATATTGAACACATTACGGACTTCCATATTCAGAGACTACGGCAAACATGGTCAACACTTATCTAGACAACTTTTGTACTTCACTTAAAATGGGATTTCCGGTGATGATGACGATGACGTTGATTATTATTATTATTGCTACTACTACTACTATTACTACTACTACTATTATTATCATCATCATCATCATCATTATTACTACTACTACTATTATCATTATTATTATTATTATTATTATTCATTAAAATATGCAGTTTTTGGCGAGCTTAATATCCAGATCAGAGAAATTAACAAGTTTAAGAAAAACACCGACCTTCGAGCTGAATTTGACAGAATGTGGAAGGTTCAAGCTTCTATTGTCCCAGTTATCAATAAGGCGTTGGGGTCTATGGAACTGAAATTGAAGTCCTACATTGAGAATATCGGAATAAAGCCTAGCATTCCATCGCTTCAGAAGTCCGCATTGCTTGAAACTGCAGAAAGTCTGCGGCAGGTGCCTTCTGTTTATGATCGCACGACTTTTATTTATTTATTTATTTTTACAGTAAGTTTCACCCAGTACAAGGCCCGAGGCCACTCGAGCTAGAGGGTTACGTTATGCGGTAGTTTATATGAATAGGAGGAAAAGATAACGGTTATCTCACGACTTGAACTGGTTAAGATTGTAGCGAGAATGGAAACATCCCCTTGGGAGTCTGTTCCACAGAGTAGTAGTTCGCGAGAAGAAGAAGCCTTAATGGGGAACAACCATTATGCAAGATCTCCGGTTGGAAACGAAAAACAATACGGTAAATGATAATAATATTATTATTGATAATAATTAATAATTAATAATGATAATGATCAATAATAATAATAATTAATTAATAATATTAATAATAATAATTAGTGAGATAAATTCGGCATATAGACGTAGTAAAAATAAATGAATGACTTTTTATTGAACTGGTTGACATCATTAATGTGGAGGGGTGTGTTGATGAGCTATGTCACGTGCATTGATATTTGGTTAGAAATTGTTGGATTTGGGTTGTAAGTCACCGCTCTATCTATATCTACCCTTTTTAACACTAGAACACTAACCATCAATTTAAGATAATCCACCACTAACCATGGGTATATTATACCCGATTTTGAAAATATCAAAAAAAAAATTAAATATAAATCTTTATCTGAAATATTTTACATACAGGCACTTCAAACTTTGTACTTTGAGTTAACATTAATAGGAACTGAAAAACATTATTTAGGTAAGAAAATCAGGTACTGAAAATTGTAATTAAAAATAGAAAAATTTACGCTGGGTACTATATACCTATGGTTAGTGTTCTAGGGTTAAACGTGAGCATTATAAGATATCAAAATCTGAAATGATTTTGTTACCATTAAGTAGCGAGTTCCATCCCCATTGGGTGCTCCATACTTTTGGCCTTGTGCCACATCTAAGCTACACTTAGTAAATCACCATATATGCACCAACATATTGAAGGACATCTATTTGGCTTTAACCTTAGAACACTAACCATCAATTAAGGTTACACAACTACTAACCATGGGTATATCATACCCAATTTTGAAAATATCAAAAAAAATAAATAAATATAAATCTTTATTTGAAATATTTTTCATGCAGGCACTTCAAACTTTGTATTTTGAGTTAACATTAATAGAAACTGAAAAACATTATTTAAGTAAGAAAATCAGGTACTGAAAATTGTAATTAAAAATACGAAAATTTGCGCTGGGTACTATATACCCATGGTTAGTGTTCTCGGGTTAATATCATTGACAAATACATAGAATATTTTTTATATGGATGTGTAGGCATTGCCTCGATGTTGAAAACAAGAACGCGACCTTGAAAAGCAATCCATGTCGTAACTAATCGAATATGGAAAAACTGCCTCATCAGATGTCAAATAATACACTGGTTAAATCAGGTACTGAAAATTGTAATTAAAAATAGGAAATTTTGCGCTGGGTATTATATACCCATGGTTATTTTTCTAGGGTTAAACACCAGGCGTTAATGACCCCTCCCTCATACCTGGATAGCCTTATCGACCCTTAATATATTCTGCAGAGTTTATCAAACTGCATAGCTTATGTATCAAAAGTCAGTGACTAATGGATGAGCTGAGTTACAATAAAATTTGGATGAAGCTATTCACCATAGTCGCCATTAGACTAGCGAGATTCACGGAGAGATAATCACGAGAATCTCAAAACATTTATCGTTGAGACTTCAAAGTGGTATTTCCTCTGATGCGATTTAGTTAGCGTGAAAATTGAATTACTAAAGACATTATGATAAAATCGGTTTGTAAGAATCTGAACAAGGCTAGTAATTTCGACTTTATTGTTTTGTTATAACCTTCCATTTATATGCTTATAAAATGCAGACGCGCAACAGATGGAGATGTGTGTGTGTGTGTCTGTGTGTTATTAGAAAATAATAATTTATGTCTATTGTTCATTTAGTGTCCGATTTCCACACACAGGGGACCGAAAATGCAGACCTCTTTTCTAATTATTGCCTGTACCCCTCATAAAAACCAGTGTAATCAGTCTACAATAATGCCATCGTATTTTTGCTTTTTTTTTTTTGGGGGTTTTTTTTTCATCAACGAGATAGCAGTTCATAATTTATGCCTTGTTAGAAACAAATTCCTCCGTACCAAAAAAAAAAAAAAATATACATGGCCAGATGTCAGTATTTATATTCAGCAGATGTTTTAAAGCACAAGCCATATTCGACATGTGTGGGCCATTTCTCTCTCTTCTTCTTCTTCTTCTCTTTGCTTAGCTTTAAAAAAAAATGAATACAAATTTATAACGTCCACCGAAAGTAAAATTGAAAAACAAGGATTTAAATCGAGCTGGATTTTTTCGTTCTGCAAGCCACGAGGCTAAATAATTTCCGATATCTTTGTAAGACAACAGATAGCCGATTTCCGTCGAATGAGTGTAATAGCTACATGCCCCACAGGTCATCTTATAGGCAGAAAGCATTTTTGGCGATATGATAACTATGGCTGTCCATGGCGTCCAGCTGTCTAAAGCCAGCCGAAGTACAAAATATGTTATCAAATTTATTTCTTTATCTCGTCATTGTTTTGGGGAGCTTTGCTGAATCTAATGCAGCGCTGATGTGAAAAACAGATAAGGCGTTGATGGTAAATAATATTCGTGTATATGGAAAGCCTTTAACCACTAAAGGTTTATGTCTGCTTTTAAACTGACACGTAGACGTAGATAGAAGCGTATTTATCGAGTAGATGATAAACAATTGGAGGTTCTTAACACGATAAACTGTTATCTCGCGTTGGAGTGTTTCAATAGATTTTTTTTTGTTTTGTTATGAATTCGGTTCTACAGGCTTGATTGCTAATAGATGAACAATGCAGAAATTACATCGAGTGTGAGATCTGCTGGAAGTTGTGTTTATGAAAGGTTGGGGCAAGGGGAGAGAATAATTAACAGAAAAAGAAAAAAGGAGGAGGAGTGACAGGGAGAGAGAGAAAGAGTAGGAGAGTGAATGGAGAAGGGAGGAAGAGAAAGTATTGGGGAAGAAAAGCTAGAAGAAGAAGAAGAAGAAGAAAAAGATTATGGGAAAAGAAAGAAAGAAAGAAAGAAAGAAAAAGAAAGAAAGAAAAAAAATAATAAAAGAAAGAAGAAGAAACTTAAGAAAAGTAAAAGGCACAAAGGAAAGAAAGAAAGAATTTGGGAAAGAGATACAAAAGAAAGAAAGAAACAAACAAAGAAAATTTTAATAAAATAAAGAAGCAATGATTTAGGACAAGCATAAAAGAAACGTAGACAGAAGGAAAGAGAGGAAGAAAGAGAGAAAACTGAAAGAAAGAAAGAAAGAAAGAAATAGTGAAAGAAAGAAGCAAAGAAAATTTTAATAAAATAAAAGAAGCAATGATTTAGGACAAGCATAAAAGAAACGTAGACAGAAGGAAAGAGAGGAAGAGAGAAAACTGAAAAAGAAAGAAAGAAAGAAAGAAAAAAGAAGCAAAAGAAAATTTTAATAAAATAAAGAAGCAATGATTTAGGACAAGCATAAAATAAACGTAGACAGAAGGAAAGAGAGGAAGAAAGAGAGAAAACTGAAAGAAAGAAAGAAAGAAAGAAAGAAAGAAAGAAAGAAGCAAAGAAAATTTTAATAAAATAAAGAAGCAATGATTTAGGACAAGCATAAAAGAAACGTAGACAGAAGGAAAGAGAGGAAGAAAGAGAGAAAACTGAAAGAAAGAAAGAAAGAAAGAAAGAAAGAAAGAAAGAAAGAAGCAAAGAAAATTTTAATAAAATAAAGAAGCAATGATTTAGGACAAGCATAAAAAAAAACGAAGACAGAAGGAAAAAAGAGAAAAGAAAGAGAGAAAACTGAAAGAAAGAAAGAAAGAAAAAAAAGAAAGAAAGAAAGAAAGAAGCAAAAGAAAATTTTAATAAAATAAAGAAGCAATGATTTAGGACAAGCATAAAAGAAACGTAGACAGAAGGAAAGAGGAAGAAAGAAGAAACTGAAAGAAAGAAAGAAAGAAAGAAAGAAAGAAAGAAAGAAAGAAAGAAAAAGAAAGAATAAAAAGAAAATTTTAATAAAATAAAGAAGCAATGATTTAGGACAAGCATAAAAGAAAGGTAGGAAGAAAGAAAGATAGGAAGAAAGAGAGAAAACTGAAAGAAAGAAAGAAAGAAAGAAAGAAAGAAAGAAAGAAAGAAAGAAAGAAAGAAAAGAAAGAAGAAAAAGTAATGAAAGAAAAGTAACAGGTACAAAGGAAAGAAAGAAAGAATTTGGAAAAAGAGATACAAAAGAAAGAACGAAAGAAAAAAGAAAGAAAGATAAAAGAATGAACGAAAGAAAGAAAGAAAATTTTAATAAAGTAATGAAGCAATGATTTAGGACAAGCACAAAAGAAAGAAAGAAAGTAAGAAAGAAAAAGAAAGAAAGAAAGAAAGAAAGAAAAAAGAAAGAAAGAAATGTAATAAAAGAAAGAAGAAAAACAATTAGTTAAGAAAAGCAGCAGACACAAAGGAAGGAAAGAAAGAAAGAAAAAAAGAAAAAAGGAAAGAAAGAAAATTTTAATAAAATAAAGAAGCAATAGCACAAAAGAAAGAAAGAAAGAAAGAAAAAAGGAAGGAAGTAAGGAATAGAGGCAGAACGAAAATGTTAACAAAATGAATAATTTAAGAATAACAGGCGAACAGAAAGAAAGAAACTGGAAAAAGAGATAAAAAAGAACGAAAAAAAATGTTAAACAGAAAGAAAGAAAGAAAGAAAGAAAAGCAGAAAAGAAGGAAGAAAGACAGGAAGAAAGAAAATCATGAAGAAAGAAAGATGAATCTGAAAGAAGAGATACAAAAGAAAGAGACAAACAAACAAACAAACAAACAAACAAAGATGAATCTGGAAGAAGATCTACGAAAGAAAGAAAGAAAGAAAGGAAAAAGGAAGGAAGGAAGGAAGATAGAGTTGATAATAAAAGATAGAAAGAACGTAGAAGGGTGATGTTAAGAAAGAAAAGAAAGAAAGAAAGAAGGAAGAGAAAGTTGATAATGAAAGATAGAAGAACGCAAAGGTGATGTTAAGAAAGAAAGAAAGAAAAGTAAAGAAGGAAAGAAGGAAGAAAGAGTTGATAATGAAAGATAGAAGAACGCAAGGTTGATGTTAAGAAAGAAAGAAAAGAAAGAAAGAAAGAAAGAAAGAAAGAAGGAAGATAGAGTTGATAATGAAAGATAGAAGAAGCAAGGTTGATGTTAAGAAAGAAAGAAAGAAAGAAAGAAAGAAAGAAAGAAGGAAGATAGAGTTGATAATGAAAGATAGAAGAACGCAAGGGTGAAAAAGAAAGAAAGAAAGAAAGAAAGAAAGAAAGAAAGAAGGAAGATAGAGTTGATAATGAAAGATAGAAGAACGCAAATGATGTTAAGAAAGAAAGAAAGAAAGAAAGAAAGAAAGAAAGAAGGAAGATAGAGTTGATAATGAAAGAAAGAAGAACGCAAGGGTGATGTTAAGAAAGAAAGAAAGAAAGAAAGAAAGAAAAAAGGAAGATAGAGTTGATAATGAAAGATAGAAGAACGCAAGGGTGATGTTAAGAAAGAAAGAAAGAAAAGAAAGAAAAGAAAGAAAGGAAGATAGAGTTGATAATGAAAGATAGAAGAACGTAAAAGATAAGAAAGAAAAGAAAAAAGAAAGAAAGAAAGAAGGAAATAGAGTTGATAATGAAAGAAGAAGAACGTAATGATGTTAAGAAAGAAAGAAAGAAAGAAAGAAAGAAAGAAAGAAGGAAGATAGAGTTGATAATGAAAGATAGAAGAACGCAAGGGTGATGTTAAGAAAGAAAGAAAGAAAGAAAGAAAGAAAGAAAGAAGGAAGATAGAGTTGATAATGAAAGATAGAAGAACGCAAGGGTGATGTTAAGAAAGAAAGAAAGAAAGAAAGAAAGAAAGAAAGAAAGAAAAAAGATAGAGTTGATAATGAATAAAAGAAGAACGAAAGGGTGATGTTAAGAAAGAAAGAAAGAAAGAAAGAAAGAAAGAAAGAAGGAAGAAAAAGTTGATAATGAAAGATAGAAGAACGCAAAGGTGATGTTAAGAAAAAGAAAGAAGAAAAGAAAAAGAAAGAAAGAAAGAAGGAAGATAGAGTTGATAATGAAAGATAGAAGACAAAAAGGGTGATGTTAAGAAAGAAAGAAAGAAAGAAAGAAAGAAAGAAGGAAGATAGAGTTGATAATGAAAGATAGAAGAAAAAGGGTTGAAAAGAAAGAAAGAAAGAAAGAAAGAAAGAAAAAGAAGGAAGAAAGAGTTGAAAGAAAGAAAATAGAAGAAAGAAAAGGGTGATGTTAAGAAAGAAAGAAAGAAAAGAAAGAAAGAAAGAAAGAAGGAAGATAGAGTTGATAATGAAAGATAGAAGAACAAAGGGTGAAACAAAGAAAAAAGAAAGAAAGAAAAGAAATGAAAGAAAGAAGGAAGATAGAGTTGATAAAAAGATAGAAGAACGCAAAGGGTGATGTTAAGAAAGAAAGAAAAAGAAAGAAAGAAAAAAGAAAGGAAGATAGAAAGTTGATAATGAAAGAAAGAAGAAAAGATGTTAAGAAAGAAAGAAAGAAAGAAAGAAAGAAAGAAGGAAGGAAGGAAGGAAGATAGAGTTGATAATGAAAGATAGAAGAACGCAAGGGTGATGTTAAGAAAGAAAGAAAGAAAGAAAGAGAGAAAGAAAGAAAGAAAGAAAATAGAAAAAATATTTTCGGAAATGACTGAAAAAACATTGATTTATGTGTAATAGACCAAAAAGAAAGAATATTTTTGTGAAAGATGAAGAAACAACGATTTAACTGTAGCAGACACAAAAGAAAGAAAAAAGAAAGAAAGAATATTTTAGTGGAAAAAAAGAAGAAGCAATGATTTGATAGCGTCAGAGAAAAGAAAGAAAGAAAAAAAATTAGCAAAATAGAAAAGCTAAGTAACAATCATTTAACTGGAAGTGATACAAAAAAAACATTTTAGCAAAAGACAAACAAATAAATATTGCTTTCAGACTATGACGTGCAAAGAAAAAAAAAATACTAAGTGGGGGAAAGGCAGATAAAAAAAAGCGAAAATAAAAATTCAATTAAGGTAACGCGAGTTGAAAAAAGATGGGAAAAGCGAAAGAAAGAAAAAAAAATGGTGGCAAAAGCGTGAATAAGAAAATGTTTATATGACGACAGAATTTCATTAAGGCGATTCTTTTTTTAAGTTTATAAATCGCTTAAATATTGGCTTTAAATCTGAAATCTTTACATCAAAACTGATCTCTGATGACATCCTTAGCTTAGTAAGAAACCAGAAAAAGCAACAGACAAACCCCGATAAAAAAAAATAGAAGAAGCAAAAAACCCCATAAAGGCATTGAAAAGCAAAGGATCAGTTCTAATCGCAAGATGCCAACCGTGACATTTTCCATTTGTTTATAACTTGTCTATATAATCATTGACTCTGACAGGTGCCGCCGAATAATCTCAAGGAAGGACGGATATATTGATATGTTTTAAAGGGAGGTGGTTTTAATGTTAGGCGAATAGCAGATCCATAAAGATAACATGTATTGGAGCAGAAAATTCCTCGAGAAATGGTTTATAGTTCATTTTTTTTAAACTACGCTTTGAACATGATATGATTATCGTTAAATATTTTAAAAGTAGGAAAGAAGGATAGGCCGTCATGCGTATAATTCAATAATTGAATAAATGAAAGAAAAAAAGCATCCTAATTGTATCTAAATTATATTAGTGAACCGTGAATTAATTTATTAAGAATTCGGAAAATTATATTACAAAAATTACAAAGACTGCCGAACTGCTTCGCATAAGCTTAAACCCTGTGCGAGCAAAAAGGACAGCCGATATTATGAATTACATAACGGGAACGTAAAAATCAAGTCGGTATGAGTGTTCAACAATTTGAATAGTGTATTAAGCAGGGACGTAAAAACTGACACAGAATTTCGAAAGCTTATTGGAATAGCAAAAGACGTTTTTAACAAACTATGCAATTGAAAACTAACATCTGAAATGAATAAGAATTTTTGGGCAGCTTTGGGAAAGATATTAGAATAATCCTGAACCTATATTGGCATCATGTCGCCTGCATATGAATAGAAAAAGGAATTTAAAGAAATTCACGTAAATAGAAAGGGGCGTAAGAGAAGAATGGGTCTTCTAACTGGATTTATTCAGCCTATACTAGGAATAAATTCTGATAGAATTAGAAATTCTATCAAGAGACATTATTGGAGGCCACAATATTAACAACATAAGATATGCAAATGAAACAGTTTTGATAACAGACAGAAAGAAAACTAAAAAAAAACTCTTAGCAAAGGAAAGCAAGAAAAAAAAAGCACGTCAATTGCAATAAATCAATATACATAGCTATTAGCAAAAGGAAGAGTCCAATATGTAAATTACTAACTAGAGATATCAAAATCAAACAAATGCAAAAATTTAAATATCTTCTATCCAAAGGCGCATTGGGATAGCGAATATTGCCTTCAAGAAGCTAAGCAATGTATTAAGAAACGGGAAAATTTCGTTACAAACAAAGCAAAGATTACTAAAATGTTACGTAACATCAATCCTCCTATATGGCAGTGAATGCTGAACAATGTCGTCACAGATGAAGACGAGACTTGAAGCATTAGAAGCAAAGAAAAGAGTACTGAACTGTGCCACCATTTACCAAGGCAGAAAAAGAAAAGGAAGGAAAGAAAAGAAAAGAGAGGCGAAGACCCAAAGCGTGGATGATAAGCAGAACACCCACGGCTAAGAGACAATGGATAAAGGATATTTTGATAAATAACAAATGGCGAAGAGTGTCATTACAATGAAAAAAAATTCTGAGTGGATAAAGGAATCGGGTGTGTTCTGACGACGGGCTGTGTTATTGGGATACATAAACAAACCGCTAATGCGGGAAGGCATCGGATTGGCAAACCACAGACCGACTAGCCAAACAAAAATCCAAATGAAAATGTTATTTTGATAATTGACGAAAACAGGTGGACTACAGGGCTTTGGATAGATATGAAAAATTAATTGTGTCAAAAGCCGCACTCAAGGTGGCCACTGACCGATTTCTTTCGAAAGAACATCTGCGATAATAAAACTATGTTATCAGAAATGTGGACCGAAAAAATGAATGGGAACCTAGAAATGTTTCTTTTCGAGGCGAAGGTCTGGCCGTGTTAAAAAGACCACCCATTCTGATAATTAGCGATAAGATGACTGACGAAGCCCAGGTGAGAACAAGAGTTATGACCACCATCGATCGTATTGTTCTGTTTGCGGCTAGAGAAAATGATAACTGCGATTAAAAGAAAGAAAAGGAAAAGAAAAAGATAATTTTTTTGTTAAGCAAGATATTTTTTTTTTCCCTGAAACAAAGCCGCGGGATCGTACACGCCCGACTAGACATCATTGGTCGAGTGGTGATCACGTGACGCAAGGAGGAGTCTGTCACCGCTCATCTAGAGGATGGGTATGAGAGGTTGCTACGAAGAAGTGGGGAGGGCAGTTCACGCCCCTCTGAAGTATGGTGAGAAGGTGGGAGTAAGAGAAGGCTCCCAAAAATGGAAAAAAAGTGGAAAATTCCTAACCAGAAATAAAAGAGGCGGATATATATTTAGAATTATCGAAGACCCCCCCCCGGCGCCGACAAACCCACCCCGGTTTTGGTCGGCGTCCATATAAGCGAAGTCGCAGCGAGCAGAAATCAGTTCGAGTTAGAGTTTCAGTTCCAGTTCCAGCAGAGAGCTCGAAGTTCGCAGTGGAAGTTGGTTCCACCTCGCAG